TGAGAGGAGACTTCCCGAAAACTTGTCCTGGCCACATGGGGCCGGACACTCGAAGTACAACGAGATGCTTTTTCTTACAACGATCCGTTGCAAAATTTCGTCACCCTTAGAGACATCGAGCATGATGATGATGATGATGATGATGATGATGATGATGATGATGACGATGATGATGATGATGATGATGATGATCGATGAAGGGAAAAGATTAATCATCGCATTAACGATAATAATTCACTTTACAAATTTTCTAGATACTCGTTGTTTTTTCAAAAAAAGCAAAAACCAAGAGAAAGACTATAGTGAACCAAAAATGTTATCTAACGTAAGGTAGAGAAGATTAGGTAGGAGTTAAACTGTGGTGTTGGGTTTGCTTCGAAAGATTCACCGCAGGAAGCCGTCTCGATTTCTATAATCAGCCGAACGACATGCTCGAAGCAATAATTAGCTCTTCGAGAGAGAATTCAGGAGGAGAAAGAGGGAGGGAGGGAGGGAGGGAGAGAGAGAGAGAAAGAAAGAGAAAGAAAGAGAGAAAGATAGAAAGAGAGAGGTAGTTGGAATCGAGTTATTCTTCTTCTCTTAAGGTCTTCCTCTTCTCGAGACGAAGGGGGCACCTGTGTTACTCGAGGTACAGCCCGGCCATTACTGGAGAATGTTGCCCGAGGACTAACACTATCCCTCGTACATCCACCCATTCGAGTTCATGGGGATCGATCGTATCCACTGAAATCGCACGTTTCTTACCCTTCGTCCTTCCTCTTTCTTCATCCCTTTCTTTTATCCTCTTTATTTCCTCTTACATCTATCTTTAATGATTTTTCTATATCTTTTCCTTTTCCCGTCATGTTGAAGCTATATATGTGTATATATATATATATGCGCGTATTTCTGTGTACGTGTGCATATTTAAGTATAGATATAAACGCAAATGTTTTTTTCACCAGAACAATTTCAACTAGTTTTATATCGGTTCTTGATCAGCCGGTATCTTTGATATGAAAGAGCACGCGTGTCCTTTTTAACCGAGCATAAGTATTTGCGTGGACGGTACTTTTTGTCGGGAGTGATTTTTCGAGTCCGACGGTCCTGTTCTCCCCACCTCGATAAAGCCTCCCTCCTCTCTCCCTCGACGGGTACTCTTTCTCTCTGACTTACCACACGGAGCAAGACTCACGTGTGCGCAAAAATTCACCGCGAAGGCAGGAATTCGCGAGAGGATGGACCCCGAACGACAGAAAATAGCCAATTCCTTTAACTCTCATTCTTTCTTTCTAATTCCAAATGGTATCCTTCAAACGCTATCATTTTTCTTTTCCTTAAATTTCAATCATTGGGAATATTATGTAAGGAGTTCTCTTTACATTCTTGTATTTCAATAAAAGAATTTAAGAATAATCTCAAAGAGCTTTAAGAAAAAGAAAGTTAGATTGCTACTTTAAGGGCAAAATAAGATATATATTATATATAGATCCCCAGACGATCTTCCCTTAGGGGTTCAATGAAGGACTCTTGCCCACTGACGTTTGGCAATTGACGCAAGAGGTGCTGGTTATGAGATTCGACAGAGAAAGGACGCTGTTATACGAACGAAAGAAAAAGGAGGAAGGAAAAATAACGAAAAAGAGGAAAAGAGGAAAAGAGAAAAAGAGAGAGAGAGAAAGAGGAGGAGGAGGAGGAGGAGGAGGAGGAGGAGGAAGAGAAGGAGGAGGAGGAAAGGTTTGGAAGATCGAAGGAAGGGAGGAGTGAAAGAAAAGGGAGAGAAGGGAAGGAGAAAAAGGAAGTAAGAGAAAAGAAAAGAAAAAATAAAGTAAAAAATCCAAAGGGGGAAAAAAGGAAGAAAGAAAGAAAGGGGGAGAGAAGGACGTTGAGGTTGCTCGTAACACAGAAAGAGAGAGAGAGAAAGAGAGAGAGGTTCTCGTTCGTTCGTTTGGAGGAGGAGGAGGAGGCTTGGCTCCGACGAGGTGTATATCCGCTGGACCTGCTGGGGCCCTCCTGATATCTTTCCTCTCTTTCCTTCTTACTCTAAAGCTACAAGCAAGCGCGTTATGGGCCCCTCTTTCTCTCTTGTTCTCTCTCTCTCTCTCATTCTCTTCCTCCCTCTACCTCCGTAAGGCCGCAGCCGCCGTTCTACGCTGACGATTCTCGTCCTCCGAGAGAGTCCTCCTTCCACATTCCTGGGCTCGGAGACGCCGTGCGGTGGAGACGTGAGGGCGGGAGGTGGAATACGAGAGGCCCTATACAAATCACCGAGCTACCGTCTTACCCGGGGATCGTTCTATCTCTGTCTCTCTTTCTCGAGCCCTTCCCGCCTATCTTGCTCTCTCTCTCTCTCTCTCTCTCTCTCTCTCTCTCTCTCTCTCTCTCTCTCTCTCTCTCTCTCTCTCTCTCTCTCTCTCTCTCTCTCTCTCTCCTTCCCTCTTTCTCTTTCTGGTCGCTCTCCACTACCTCTGTTTTTTGCATCCTCTTTCTTAAGGCAGCCTATTATCTCCCTCATTTATCGCGTTGCTTCTCTTTCTATTCTTTGTACCTGACTCTCCTCCCCTTTTTTCGATTTCTCCTTCCATCTATTCTTCATCCTACTCTATCCACCTTCCTCTTCATGCTGCCACTCTTCTTTGCACTTTTTATATATATATATATATTTATATCCTTCTCTTTTTTCTTTTTTTGTTATTTTTAATTTTTATTTTGTCTTCCTTTCTTTCCTTCTTCCTTTATATCTTCGAACGATCGACTTAAATCTTTTTATATTCATGGATTAGATATCTTCTAGATTTTCATCATTTTTCTTTTCAAGATAGAAATGATGATTCACATGAAGTTTACGGTAACTATTAAAACCTTTTGTGTTTATTATTCACGCGATTGCAATTAAAAATTGATATTTGTTGAAGAAAAATAAGAAGTGATTATCGCATACCGTCTTGTTAAAAGAATATACCTTATTAAAGGAATCCTTAGAGCAATGAAAATTTAGTATGAAAAGGGAGACGTGTACAAACGCGAATGAGTACTTTGAAAGATAAAATGTTCTAATCGTATTGACTAAGGTTGATTAGGGTTAGGTGGATGAATTTAAGAAGGATGTAGGTTTGCCGACGATCTCGTCGTGGAAAAAGGGTAAGGAAATAGGAAGCAAAAAGTAGATATTTCTTTTTTTTTTTCCCTCTCAAGTCGTGGTATGGCTCGCGCGCCTTAGAACCTGCCAGCGCTGCCTCACCGTGATGGGGTACCGCTGGAATGTAGAATGGAGGGGTTTGCAGGGCTCCGCAAAGTCCAAGAAGGGTCCAGCTGGTGGGGATACCAGTCGAACCGGCTCGTCTCGCTGCTCTTGGTAGAAGGAGAAGGCCGAGGGTGGCGGGTGACGATAGACGCGACGAAGGGAGGAAGAGGAGGATATCTTGGTATGCATAAAGACCACGAGATTAACCAAATTTTTATATCCACTTCCCCCCTTTCCCTCTACATTTCATTCTACACTTCAACGTTGTTCTTGCGTCTTTTGCATTGAAATTTTATTGGGAATGAGAGGTGGAAGAAAGAATCGGAGCATCATGCGCGTGTCTAAATGGCCAAGTTTTGTTTCTATGTACGAAGTTTGATCATGTTGCAACTATGACATTGTCCTATGTATCTAAAGTAGTACAATGTATCGATAACATTTTAATCGAGTCTTCTATCATGGGCTTGAAACGACGGGGAAAAGACGAAGGGATCAAGGACAAACAAAATCGAAGATGACGATAGTCGTAAAAATGTACTAAGGTAAAGTGTTCGTTGCCAAGAGCGAAAGTTACTCACCGGATAATATGGCCAGCCCGAAGAGTTCGCAGTCTCGCATGCCCTGCTGACCGAGAAGCATACATGTCTGCGCGTATACCTCCTTTACTCTTGACTTAGCCTATAGTAAAAACAAAACGAAGGAGTTTGTTAAAGAGAGAAATAGAAATAGTATATATATATATATATATATATATATATATATATATACTGTGTGTGTGTGCATACATAAAAATCGGATTGGCAGATGATAATGGAAAAAATTGAGGGAACATTTTTTTGTTGTCGAGAAAAGCGAGAAAATCTCAGGGACGAAATGCATTTAAAAGTTCCTTCGTTCCGGATGGGTAGAGCGTCTCGTAAACGTTGACCGTGGAATGCGCGTGCGCGCGCCAAGGTAGAAGGACGATTTATCGTCTCTTATCGAATATTTTGAATTCCTCGAAGCGTTCCAACGCCAACACCGATCCTCCCCGACAAATCCCCCAGCATAAAATCGTCCTATCCGATCTACACCTAAGCATTGCCGAGCTTAATTTCGGTCCAAGGATTGTTCTCGAATATTTTCTTTTTTAAAAACTTGATTAATTGTTAATGACAATTCAGAGATAATATATACGAGGTCGATAAACGAACTTAACACATGATGACGATCGAGAAAGGAAAGAACTTCCTCGAAGAGTCTGAATCTAAATTCGTTCTTTACAAACGAGTCTCTCGTTATAATTAGGTAGATCTTATCGTATGAGAACGTACGCTATCGAGCGTACGATGTGGAGGGGAACATTGGTATCACGTACATGGTCTATGTTGGGAATAATCTCGTTCAAGATCCCAGGCGATTTATCATGAACAATTTATCCCTTACAATATGATACTTGTGTTTTCGCCTTAAAGATTGTCCGTGGTAAAATCAATATATTCTTCGAAGCAGGAAGTAATCCTATTCATATGCTTATTAAGTATCTTTTGTACCTATATTATCGTGAAGTCCTGTTACCAAACATATAAAAATTTCTCATTGGATGTTTGACTTAAGAGAGAGAGATTTAAGAGTATAGATCTCTTTTACGATCTTTATGTTCTATCATAGTAATAATTTTAATATAGCCCCTTTCTTCTTACCTCGACGACGAAGTAAAGAGGATCACCAGGAAGGGCGTGTACAGCGAGGTAGCGGCTGGCGGACACCAGAGGTTGAAGGCAAGACCGCGCAGCCGTGACACCGCTACCACGCATGCTGCATGCTTCATTTCGTCGCCGCTACGTCCAGCGTCCGCACTGAAATTCAAAAAAGATGTCCTTATTACACTCATTCACGTATCCCTATTGTATTTACCCCTAAAAAAGGAAAATTAACTAGCAAAGATTTCGTAAGAATTTATTGGGTTCTAAGATCAATGATCTTATTCATTATCGAAGAAGGATGAACCCGCACGAAAGTAAATCCGATATTTTCCTTCTTCCGTCCCTTCCGCCGCCCCCTCCCCCATCCCCACTTTACGATCACCCCGTTCCTTTGGATACACCACTTGGCCCGCTGCACGTTCATACTTTTACTCGGTTACCCGCATAGCTGCTTCGCCATTATAAAAGCCGGTCTCTCCTCTCTGGGCTCCTCTCTTTCTCTCTTTTCTCCTCTCTTGCCTCATCGAACCTCTCAGCGACGCATTTCGCAGCCGTTCAACCTGCGTCCCTACAGCATTCTCTTCGCGATCACCGACCCCATGCTCGCTCGCTCAAAAAGAAAACCGCAGTGAATATGTATATATACATGTACACACACACACACACACACACACACACACACACACACACGGGCGCGCGAGTATATATATATATACATATACTCTAATGCACATCGCTTATTGTTCTTATCATGCGTTTTAAAAACTGGATCCGGAAGGCCTAACTCAAAGAATCCAAGTCTACAATGATAATGCACAAGCGAAAATGGCATGGGCTTATCAAACTTTTCTCGCTCGTTCTCTTATCGTGGCCTTCTATTACAATTTTTTTTATAATTGATACGCATAAAGAGTTTCATACATATATGATTAGGTCTCATAATTTGATTAGGAGTATTATTAGTTTTTCATTGAGAAATAGAGAACCGGTATTCTCGATCATGTTTTTGCAATCATAATTGAAATACATCTGAAAAAGCATACACGAGAGGCAAATCGATATTTATTCATAAGTAGTAAATTAATGAACACGCTGCATATTAGATTAAAAGCTGCGTATCTTCGACACCTCCTTGAATAAACAGTACTCACGTTATTATACTGATAAGCGATATTCCTACGCCTTTTTAAAATTTACGCGATACTATGTAATATCGCTTCACTGGCTGCAACAATCTCGTTGTAGCAATAACGGTGACGCATTCAAACTAATTCATCATTGAATCTGTCGTTTGTCAAGTGCTATTAAATGATCGATGACTGATCAAAAAAATCCAAAAAGAATGTCCTTTTAAATAAATTTTCATCGGTTCTGTTCGATCGTTATAAGATCAGTGATCGTCCTTTTACAAATTATCTATTATTAAAATTATATATTAATAAATTAAATAATCTTTTATTCTTCAAGCTATCAATATGGCAGCTAAGTTAGTGATGGCAGATTATATAGTGATCGTGGTGATGCTTCTCATTAGTTCTGGTATCGGTGTCTATTATTGGCTCACTGGTGGACGACAAAAATCGACAGAGGTAAAAACAATTGTACGAATTAACTAAGATCGTAAAAAAAAATATGTTATTATATAAGAGAAAATGTGTCTTTCTTACAGGAGTACTTTGTAGCAAACAAATCTATGAGTGTTATACCAGTGGCAATTGGCTTGATGGCTTCATACTTGTCGGCGGTCAGCCTACTAGGGGTCAGTTCGGAAATTTACGTTTACGGTTCTCAGTACATGGTGATAAACATCTCCTACGGCATTGCCACCGCATTCGTTGTCTACTTTTACTTGCCCGTCTTCTTCAAGCTCAACGCCACCAGCGCTTTCGAAGTGAGTACATACCCGAGGAGAATCATTTTCACGCTTATTTCACGTGAAAAGAGAAGCAGTCTTTACGGATCGTGCTGTGTGTTTGAATTTTAGTATATATACGTGTCGAGAAATAAATAAATAAATAAATAAATAAATAAATAAATAAATGATTAGGTCAAAACGTTAAAATGATTCCTCGTACGATCCACTTTGTTCCTTTCATTCTTACATTTATTGGCGTATCTAAAAGTGAGATCACTTGCAGTATCTTCAGAAACGTTTTGGTACGCCGACAAGGTTGTTAGCCAGCGTCGCCTTTTTCCTTCAACTTCTTTTGTACACCGGCGTCGTGCTCTACGCGCCGGCACTCGCGTTGGAAGCCACGACAAATATCTCGAGGAGTTTGAGCGTGATCGGCATCGGATTGGTCTGTACATTCTACTCAGCGATTGGTGGTATCAAGGCAGTTATTATTACCGACGTATTCCAAAGTGCCCTCATGATTACAGCCATTATCACAGTGATAGTGACAGCGGCGATTGATGTAGGTGGCCTTGCACGAATTTGGGAAATCTCAGCCGAAGGATTACGATTGGAATTTAATAAGTAATATTTATCGTACATATATTTATCTAATATTATTTTTCTCTCGCATCTATCAAAAGTCTATTACTTTTTTTGATATTTCAATATAATAGCATTTCTCCCGATCCAACGGTACGACATACTTGGTGGAGTCTAACGTTTGGTGGTTTTTTCACCTATCTTTCCTTGTACGGTGTCAATCAAGTTCAAGTTCAAAGAATGCTAACAGTCCGGTAAGTAAATCCATATGGATTCTTCACTATTATGGAAAAAAATCATTCTGATATCTTTCTTTTATATCTGATCTCTAAATCGACGTGTCTCGACTTAGTAAGAATAGCTATCTCCTGCGAATGTACCTTTCAGGAATCTGGGAGCGGCCAAACGGGCTCTTTGGTGGAGTTGGCCGATGGCGTCTATCATGTCATTGACCATTTGCTTTGCTGGCTTGTCGATATATACGAAGTATCGTGAATGTGATCCCTTGAACTCGGGAAGGATCACCTCGAACGACCAACTGATGCCGCTTTACGTAATGGACACGTTGTCAAAGTATCCTGGAATACCTGGACTTTTTATAGCTGGGATTTTCAGTGCAGGACTCAGTACGATATCGGCCACGGTCAATTCGTTATCTGCAGTCATTCTTGAGGACTACATCAAACCTTTGTATCGATACAAAAGGTATTCAGAATGAATAATTTCGTTAACTATATAACGTTACGTTCTTTTCATGAATTATTTTCTTTCAGCAAAGGCAAAGAAATGTCATCGAGGCGATCGATCATTGCCAGTAAAGTGTTAGCGGTCGTTGTTGGATCAATGTGTCTGGGAGTAGCCTTCTTGGCACGATATTTGGGTGGACTCCTTCAGGCTGCTCTAACGATATTCGGCGTAGTCGGAGGACCTCTCCTTGGTACATTTACTTTGGGTATGTTCAGCCAAACGGGAAATCAGAAGGGAGCTATCACAGGACTTATCCTTGGTCTTGCGTTTTCATTTTGGATTGGTTTCGGTCAACCAAAGCCGCCCATTCCAAAATTGCCCGTATCCACTATTGGATGTAGCAGCAATTATTCCTTGACCTATAAGAATTTAATCATGCCTAAGACATTCCACGAGTAAGTATTCCTGAGTTTAAATAAATTCACTATACTATAATAGTTAATACTTTAAGATGGTAATATTGAACTACCTGGATACTCTATGTAAACATTGTTTTAGGATTACGAATCAAAAATCCTACTTTTATCTCTATCGATTGTCCTACATGTGGTACTGTCCTCTCGGATTTCTCAGTAGTTTACTCATCGGTTGGATAGTTAGTTGGGTGACAAGGATGATCTTCAAGGAGGAAGAAATTATAATGGATCCACAATTGTTCACACCGATAATTGCCTCGAGAGTTCATAAGAGAACGCATGAGGAGAAACTCACGACCGCGGAATGATTTGTGGTTTCTTAAAAAAAAAAAAAAAAAAAAAAAAAAGAAAAAAAAAGAAAAAAAAAAGAAAAAAAAAAGAAAAAAGAAAGAAAAAAGAAAAAAGAAATGAAAAAAAAGAAATGAAAAAAAGAAAAAAAAAGAAAAAGAAAGAAGAAACAGAAATAATGATAAAGAGGGAAGGATCTTTGGGCATAAGAGATTTTCCGGTCGATCTTCGGACACGTTATCGTCTTATGTAAGCACCGTAAGCCACGA